AAGAAGAAGAAGAAGAAGAAGAAGAAGAAGAAGAAGAAGAAAAAGAAGAAGAAGAAGACGATAAGTGGTGTATACATATATTTAACTGTGTGCAGCAGAATTAATGAATATTGCAGAATACTAATATAAAAAATTTAAAAACGATGAACTGTATCGCTTGCTCAACATGCAGCAATATTTTATAAATAGAAAATCTGCTTCAAACAGAAGAAAATCTTTTCTTGTTACGTTCGCAAATTTAATAACTGTAAACTGACGTTTCATAAATCTCTGGCGTGGCTATAAATTCGACTATGAAGTTCAAATTTGTTTCGTCGTAAACATCAATAAATCTACAGTTTCAAGAAGCCATATTGTGAAATAAAGGGAAGAAAAGAAAGAGGAACGGTAATATTGCCAACACAGAGAGAAAAAGAATGACGTAGTCTCCACGAGTGACAGAAATAACAGGGAAAACGATACAAGAAATACTTTTTCAAACGATTCACGAAGGAGAATAGAAAAATATTAGCTTATGAATTGAAGACATTCTGGGTGGAATTGAAATGAACTAGAATTGTCTTTACGACTTGGTATAAAAGCAGACCAACTGGTCTTGCACCATTTCTAAACACTTGTATTGGCATCGGATGACATAAAATAAGCATACAAAGAGGAACATAACTTTGCGTTCCATATGCGTAGACTTTCAAGAATATTTTTATAAGTTTAGAACTCGAGGAGGCTCTCGGTGGGTCGTTGGAGTCCTTTCCGTCGCTTTCCGCCGCGCACCACGGGTTCGATTCCCGGCCTTAGCAAAATTGTAATTATGGGCTCTTCTTACAAATTTATCAGTATCTATTGTTGGGTGACGATGAGAAAGGTTAAGATGACCTGTATACGGTGTAGTGATACCTTCGTGCAAACCACACGAACCCCTTATCCAATGGCTGAGAGGTTGGGACACCGCTCGTCGGCCAAGACCCGTATCCGGCTGTTGAGCCAAAGGACAGAACAGTATTTTTGACTTGAAATTTACCCGCAACCGCTAGTGTAGCAAATAGCTAGTGTATCTTCATTGGTTTATTGGTTGATTATTTCAAGTTTCCGAGCGTATCAACTGCTATGGTCATTAGTCCCGTAAAGTGGGTGTTTGTATTTATCACGGGAGGTGGCGGTGTACTTGCGCCACTGAATGGTGAGATCTGATGCCGACATAATCGGATTACTGCGTTTTCCCAACTAGGTATCTGCCACCAGCGGGGCCAGGCACCGCCCTAGGCGTAATACACTTCAAGCTCCCGATTGGTCTCCCAACATGTGTGGTAGTGTAGTACATGTTAGAGTACGTGTGTGAGTAAGGGGGGGGGACATGACAAGGAAGAGGAAGGAAAGATTTTGCGTGGCCGTGGCCCGTTTGTTAGGGTACTACTCGGACATTCGCCTGATATTGATTGTAGAAACCACCGATAACTACGTATCCTTGCAGCCGGTTGCTAGAATTCTCCTCCAGACAGTGAGTGAATTCGTCTGAGAATGTACGGTCGAAAATCGTGCCACCGACGGACTCCAAACCTTGGACCTCCCGGTCAGTGGCACTGCAATGATATCAGTTGATGCCCTTAAACCCGTACAAATATTTA